AAAGCCGTCGTTTGGCGAAATTGCCATCCTATACATCTGGTAGCAGAATTTCATGAGAGCGGTTAATTAAATTCAGGTTTATTTGAAATGCTTTATATTTGATCCAAGACATTAGTATTTTTAGTTTAATCAATAAAGGTTTGATGTCTTTGCCGACTGGTAGATGATCTGTAGCCATTGATGGAGGGTTACGATAAAGCCGCTTTCATTCCAATATTAACTTCACTTACTTTTTATACATTGACCACACTTTGATGGACACATCAAGATCTTGTATAACTGGGTTTTCTACAATTATTCAATTTCCTCTCAGCTCGAAGATACATCGATGTTGTTTAATATAATGGTTTGAAGTGCGAAATATACACATAATTAAGAAAAGATAAATATCAGTTTCATCTAAAACATTGGTAGTTCTGAGTTCCGTTGATAAATTGCTTTACAAACAACCTTTTCAATTGCTCATACAAACTGGACCATTCAAATAAGGTTTCTGCAGATAAACAAAACATTAGGCTGTACCCTCAATGCCAGAATCAATCTCTCTTTCGAGTATTAATTTTGATGCCATAAGCATTAAGACGTTACACGAAGATGCCGTTGCTGTCATTGCTGGTGAATAACCGCAGTCAATGCAGATGAAGACTACGTCGCAAAAAATGAAGAAAAAACTGGATTTTGTCACTCTCTGAAACGTTGGTGCTGTTTTATGTCAACTGAATTGCAATCATGCAAACTCGCTGTAATACCCACGGCGTCGCCAATGTCGAGATTCCTTCGGTAGGGATGTGGACAAATGTACTTGGCAAATGGAACACCATTTGCTGCTAGCCCATCACCTTCACTTTTCTGCTAAAAGTCCCATAAGATAATCATGCTAAATCAAGTTGAATATCCTTGGACGTAGCATACCTTCCGATATTAGAGAAACTGCGTCGACGTTGCCAAACACACACAGTTGAGCTATCATGCGAATCACTAAATTGAAGGGTGCTCATTTGACATGCATCCTATATGAGGCATGAGTGACGCCATGTCCGAGCGTCAAAGTTTATTTTAGCGTCTCACACAACTGCAGTATACCATAAAATAGTAATTGTAGTGTACAAAACAGCAGCCAAGATTGTATGCATGCGAATGCGTAAGCTGATGCCGGACAACTGACCAAACAGCGACTTGTTCAGTAGGGCTGAATCAGAGACATCGTTAGATCGGTAGATGACAGGAAATACTCATTAAGAATGGATGCGTTTTATTCCAGACAGCCTCAATGACTAAATAGTTCTGCTTTCTGTTCACGTAAACCGAGGCAACACAAGGAGTGACTTGGTGCCCTTATCACTATGGAGATTTCTACATTGAAGCAGTGAGAGGTCGCCAAAACTGACAAGCTAAATTGACGTTTGGACTTGGTACGCAATGTAATCATCGAATTTATGCGCCTAGTGCAGTTATCAGCACAGACCTGGCTCACTGACTGAAAATATCAATAGAAACTTATTTAAGGACATTGTCAAAGCAGAAGATTCCACAAGATAATTATTACTTTTAAAATGTGAGTTTATGGTATCGTTCTCACTAGGTTAATGGTGGCTTCGTTTTATGTGCTTGCTTTTATGCTATATCACTCTATAGCAGAACCTGTTTATGATAGATGTTATTTGCAGCATCCATGCTGGTGAACGCTTAGTTACAACCATAGGGCAGGGTCACTGCCAACGACAGCTGATACTACGTTGTATCATTGTATAACCGGACAAGTGTAATACTAACTGCTGTTGTTAAAGTTATGTTTATAAATGACGGCATTGGGTAAAATTGGCGTTGAGAATTGGCTGATTGTGATGAATCAACGACGACAAAATTAATAATTGATTGGATTTTAAAAAAAGCAGAGCCCATGGAATTAAGTACACAATTTCAGCTTTGCCAACCACGCACGCGCTCACACAAACAATTTGAGGACGTCACTGGGAGTGGAGCTATTAGGGCTAAGAAAGTTCATGCAACACACCCACAATTGGCAATTTGTCTGAATTTCACACGTCATTTTACTGCTTCACCTGAACTTTCAACAAAATGTTTGATTTCCCCAATGTAATAACGGTTGAGTTAAAACTGTTTTTGACACTAACCCTCCATTTGTGATTTTCCATCGTCTTCTTCACTATGTGCTATTGGTTTCAGAACTGTCAAAAAGTCATGTTCGAACGAGGTCAAGATGCGTGTAGCAGCAGCGCCTTTGTGGTTGAGGGTGCTCTTGTTGTGCAGTGCCATGAGAGGCCACAAGTGGCAGCACGTCTGAGATTTGCAGGTTTCAATCAACATTTGCACACTCCGTATGTCATGAGTGATCATTTTATTGCGGAATTCTCGCAATTAATGAACCACTGAAGTATTTAACACGTATTGTATTTGGAAAGACCAAAAAAAAATTAATTGACAATTTTGTAAAACCGCGGGTCACATTCAATGTTTGCACACTCCAAAGCCAGTTTCTCATGCATTAATTTTTGTTTTAACGGACTGTGGCTTTTAAGTGGCCATGTCAAAACTGAATTCTTGCAACAAATGAACCACTGAAGTACCTACCGCAGATTGTATTTGGACAGCCTAAATGAAAACAAATTAATTGAGACTTTATCGTAATGGCAGTCGCTAATGTTCATTGAAGTCTGCTGGCGATTGGTTTATGGTCAGGGAATGCCAAGAAAGAATGTATATACCGCACAGAACCTGGTCAACAATTCCCTTATAATTCTGAGCCACATGACGTAAAGCGTAAGACATTCGTATTAATTTACCGGATGTGTTCACAATAGCAACGTCAGTTGTTGGAAAGTCGTATGGGATAACAGGCATCTGATGATTGGTCCATATCTAGCCGACGTGCAAAATCATAAAAACAGTGCTGCATTCACTGTACTCGGTTACGCAGGGATCTCAGCATAAAGGGCACTTTGAAATGTCATTTTAGATTAAAATAACGCCATCCTCGTTGACTTTGCAGAAGAAGAAACGCTTCTAATGCAAGTATCCCTTGTTCCCTAATAGATGGATCACCTTTTGCTGCTAGTCCAACATCCTCCCTTTTCCTCAACGTCTCACCGGATCATCATGTTAAATCTAATTAATATTTTTTCTCTGGCTTAGTCAAGCATCTGATATCAAAGGATCTGCTTCGACTGTGCCAAACACGCACATTTGAATTATCACGCGACCCACTCGAGTGAAGATGTTGTAGTGGAAGTTTCTTATGTGACATGCCAAATACAGGTGAGGCTGTCTGAAATATAAAGCACATGTTTAATTTCAACACTTCCAAAAGTAAATGAGATAGAAGTAAAAATAAATCGGTGCGTTTAAACAGAAGTAGAAACAAAAATATTTTCATGCACATGTATTACGAAAATGGGCAAATGATTCTGCAGCGTTTAAGTTGTGGCATGAAAAGCATCAAGCAATGCATTGTGCTTAGATGACCGCTTACGTAGTGTGAGAGATATCACTTCCATAAATGTCAGCAAGAAATTACCTTAGGCTGAATTCAACGACTAAAGTCTAAGGCGTTAAGGTCGTTTCCCAGTATATATCCAAAAATAAATTAGCAGTGTATTAGCTAAATTTGAATATTAGGCATGGTATTTCGCATTCAACTAATGCTTATTAATTATTGCTTGGCGTCAGCTTAGCCATCACGATTTCAATTTACACATCCTCATAAAAACAAGATTTTTTGAATAAAACGGCGACGACTGGCTTAAGCAATGGCGCTACTTTTTATGATTCCGTCACCAATTAAGTTAGTAGATATATTGGAAGGTAAATTCTGGTGCCGACGTGGGCGTAAATATAACAGGTCCTGACATTGGCTACCAATCATGGCTCTAAATATTGGCCTACACAGTAAGGCGAATTCAGGTAGACAGAGATTCATTTTCAGTTCTGCCTTGTCCTTGTAGAGCAAAGCTTGCTCGATTGTACCAGTCGTTTATAAATATGGCAGAGTCTTTAAATTTATGCGAATTTCAATGAATTTATCAAACATACTTACATATACACACTTGAAGAGTTCATGAAATGTGGTTCTTTCGAAGACAAGTGTGCTCAATGTACTGAGCAACCTGATGATCCCAAAACAATTTATAAACGCTAAAATCGATGAAGGGATAATCTGATCTTAATATAAAATTTCTCAGTAATTGTTACTAAGATAATTATTACGTTATGAGAGCATGATCACAGCACAGAAACAATGCCTTTTCAGATTAGTGCAGGAGATGAATCAAACGATCAATTGCACATCGATAGCTTCTCCAGTTCCTTGAAAAACACTCACCATAAATTTTATTTGAAGTTAGTCAATAGACGAATGACTAGAGTCCAAATAAATGTTCTGAACACACGAGGATATTAGGTTCAGAATTCGTAGACATGTGGTACTGGATCACTCCACTTGGGTTGAAAGTAATCTCAGTTTAGGTTTTTTTTTGTATAAAAACCACTACGGTTGACTCAATTGACTTCTTTGTGTGTGCATATACCGCTGTGGTATTAAAGTTGTGTTGCTAAACAAAATATGATCACGTTCTCGTTCACCTGTGAGTCTCAACGCTCATGTAATTTTGCGCACTGTATGTCTTTATATACGTTCTTGGAAATGCATATATTTGCACCTCCTATGATTGTGGTACATATTTAGCCTCCTTTCTGTTTAATAATCGATGGCGGTTTTTTGTATGAAACGTCTATGATTGATTGCATATCACAATTCAAGCCATGGCTTATTTGAGTATTTTCACTTCCAATTGAAACTAGCCGTCGTTGCAAAAGCAACTTCATCCAAAGGGTCCACAAAATAATGCTTAATACGGTTAGTCACCAGAATTTCTGCAATGAAAAGACTTAACTCAGATTCATCGCAACACACTCGCATTCAAACGCTACAATAAATCTGTGTAACCCTTTTCATCCAACTCGCCTCCATTTTCAGGTTGTGCGCAAGCTCTTATTTGATGGAGCAAGCTGCAAATTGGCACTTGTTACACGGTGTAATCTGTCAACACTCGCTATTGGTATTCTGTTAGCTAAATTTTACTTACGCCAGTCACAAAACCCTACATTCAATGTATTCTTGCTATTGTCCACAACGCTAGTAATATTGATATGGGAAGTACGCAAGCAAATTAATCCAGACATCACACCTACCAGTAATGCACACATTCCACCTCAACAGAATATTTTCTGATTGTAAAGACGCCACGTAAACGAATGTTTGATTTGCCCGATAAAGCGTTCAAACAATTTGTCAGTGAAAAATTTCCGCTTGACATTTAGGGCATCAACAACACCTCCGTCGTTTGGAACAAATATCTATAGACAAATATAAAATAAATGACTCACATCACATTTAATGCTTGTATCATACATGTACTTGACAGCAGTACTAAAAGCAAATTGTTGGAAAATTGTACATAACATTTAATATTGTCAGACAAAGCATAATCTTGGCTAATCAGCACAGATGCCAGTCCATTCGACCGATAGAGTAATTTTGGTTAGGTGATCGCCTAGTAAATTTTATCACATTTCACGATTGCAAAGACGGATGTTGATGTAATAATATGCCAAAATAAATAGAGTCATTAAAAGACAAAAGAAACAAATGGAATTGGCACTGTGTCGCGGCAGGATCAGCAATAATTAACGCGAAGCACTGAATTGCCAACGCTGCTGCCTAAACTAATACCTCAACAGCTGAGAGCATACTGGAAGCCGAGGTCCTACTGGTAGTTGTGAGGATTCCTGGATAATTTGATGGATCAGTTGATTCTGTTGAGGTCGCTGTTGCTGTTGCTGCTGGTGCTGATGTTGGTTTTGCTGTTGTCTTTGCTGCTGGTGTTGCTGTTGGTTTTTCTGTTCCAGTTGATTTTTCTGATGCTTTTGGTAATGCTCTAGGTGTTGCTGTTGCTGTAAGTGTTGCCGTTGGTGCTGCCGTTTTTGCTGCCATTGCTGTTGGCGTTGCTGGTGCTGCCATCGTCACCACCGCTGTTGGTGTTTCCGTTGGTGTTGCCGTTTGTGTTGCTGTTGCAGTCGACATTGCTGTTGAGGATGCCGTTGCCGTTGCTGTTGGCATTGCTGTTGGTGTTGCCGTTGATGACATCGCTTAATTTGATAACATCGTTGCCGTTACTGTCGGTGTTGGTGTTGCCGTTAACGTCCACGTTGCCGTTGGTGTTGCTGTTGCGGTTGGTATTGCTGATGGTGTTGCCGTTGATGTCATCGTTGCCACTGCTGTCGGTGTAGCTGTTGATGTTGCTGTTTGTGTAGCTGTTGCGGTTGACATTACTCTTGATGCTGCTTTTGTCGTTGCTGTCGGTGTTGCTGTTGGTGTTGTTGTTGGTGCTGCTGTTTGCGTTGCCATTACTGTTGGCTGTTGTTGGCGCTGTCTTCGTCACCATTGCTGTTGGAGTTTCTGTTGGTGTTGCCGTTGATGTCAACGTTGCCGATCCTGTCAGTGTGACTGTTGGTATTACTGTTGCTGCTGCAGTCGACATCGCTGTTGGTGTTGCTGGTACTGTCATCCTTGCCACTGCTGTCTGGGTTGCAGTTGGTGTTGCTGGTGCTGTCATCGTTACCACTTTTGTCGGTGTTGCTGTTGAAGTTGCAATTGGTGTTGCGGTTGCAGTCGACATTGCGTTTGGTATTGCTGGTGCTGTCGTTGCTTCCACTGCTGTCGGTGTTGCTGTTGGTGTTGCCGTTGCTGTTAACATTTCTGTTGGTGTTGCCGTTGATGTCATCGTTGCGGTTGCTGTCGGTGTTGCTGTTGATGTTGCGATTGCTGTTGCGGTTGCAGTCGACATTGAGGTTGGTATTGGTGGTGCTGTCATTGTTGCCGTTGCTGTCGGTGTTGCTTTTGGTGTTGCCATTGGTGTTGCTTTTGCAGTCGACATCGCTGTTGGTGTTGCTGGTGCTGTCATCGTTACCACTTTTGTCGGTGTTGCTGTTGATGTTGCAATTGGTGTTGCGGTTGCATTCGACATTGCTATTGGTGTTGCTGGTGCTGTCATCGTTCCCACTGCTGTCGGTGTTGCTGTTGGTGTTGCCGTCTGTGCTGATGTTTGCATTTCCATTGCTGTTGGTGTTGCTATTGGTTTTGCTGTTTGCGCTGTCACTGCTGCTAGTGTTGCCGTTGCTGTTACTGTTGGCGCTGCTGTTGCTAACGGTGTTGCATTTGCCTTTGGAAGTGCTGCTACTTTTCTTGTCGGTGATGTTGTTTGTGCTGATGTTTCTATAGTTACATCGGATTTGGGTGAATCAGGATGATTGTTGACCCCTTCTGCAGCTTGTATGTTCAACTTAGAATTTTCGTCTCATCCAGGACTTGCTGCAATGCACCACATTAGAGCAAGAAGACAAATCAGCTTCTTCATCATATCTACAACACACAAAGTCAAGCAATTTAATTTGCATTAATCAAGCAGTATTCCTGCAAACACTGTGTTCAAAGAAGACTTAGGCGATGACAACCACACTCGTATATCAACAGTCACATGCTTCTGTTTCTCTACTAACCAATGTATTCTCATTATTGGCTGTTGTCATTTTAACCACCACACTCAGTATGGCATACTTTCAACACTGTCGGATACACTGCATCGACGATATCGGTTTCTGCAGGAGAAAACAAAGTTCTAATTTTGCAAGTAAAGGCACTTTTTCTGTTGCCAAGCGGTCGATCTGATGTCAGTTAATTGCTGCCTGATAATTACACCTGATACACGCTTATCAAGTTTGCGCAGAATCAAGCGACGACACTTGTCTGGTCTCACCCTCATAAAGGGGAGTTTCAGCTGTGTCCTCCTTTGATTCTGTCGTTGGTTTGCTGAGACATGGTAACCACGATGTGCCTGATTATGTAATAGAATTTTCTAGGGCACTCGCCTAACCTCACAATGTGTGATCCCCTGTTCCATACAAAGTATTTCATTCAAGCGTCGGTCCACCAGTGTGATTTCTTTTCATTGGCTCATTTTTGTAAATCTAGTGTATCCGACATTTCTCCTTGCTTTCGTGTGTGGTTGAACAGCTGCGGAGGTATGTGGCACTTGTGTAGGACTGGAACGACAATCCATCTTATCGCGCAAAATAGGAAACCTGAACATCTCAGACATTCAACATTTCCATTTTTGTAATGTCATCAACTATGACTGTTATCTTAAACGCCTTCCCGCCGATTCAGTCAATTCTGAAAGGCCATCATACTATCATCACCATGGTTGCTAGGCCTGAGCTCCAAAATACGAATGCATCTAGGAACCGCCTTTCAAGGTAAAATAATTACCTTCAGGAAAGAAGAAAGCTTGTCAGATATAGCGATGACTGGCTAAAGCACTGGCACTAATTGTCTTCCTTCCTTCCCCGATACAGGCATCATATATATTTTTGTGATAGTCTCAGGGACTAATGTGGGTGTAATTATAACACGTTTTAACTTAGGCCACCTACATTCCGTCTGTCAGCCAATAATCTTTTACCTTAGGTTGTCTAGTCAGTATGGAGAAATCGGGTGGAGATAGCATCATGTACTTGGTCAACAAAGCGCACTCTGTTGTACCAGTCACTTTAAATACAAGCTGAAAAAATCCAAAATCATGTCACAGTGGCAATAAAATGAATACATCCCATAAATGTTGGTGGTGAGGTGAGGTGAGTATCACTAAGACCTCAACAGGTAATGAACTTGGCTGTTTGCTGAACATCAAATTGGTAGCAGACTAAATAACTGATGTAATTTAAGCCAAACAGCCTTGATTATGGCCGTTTTTACAAATGTACGAGTGTTTGTCAAACGCAAAGACACTCGGGTAGTGTCTCTTGCTTTTCGCTGAACATCCAATTGGTAGAATATTGGATAATCGATGTAGTTTAAGCCGAACAGCCGTGATTATGGCAGAGGTTTTACAAGTGTGCGAGTGTCTTTGCATTTGTCAAACACTCTTACACGCTTTGAATTAAAAGATATACTTTCATGCAAGTTAAACAGGTCATTGGAAGTGATTCCTACTTAGTCAAGGGTAATCACATCGTTCACATGCGTGCGAAGCCACAATTGCCATAATGTTTAAAATCTACACCTTCATTTGCTGTCGCATCTAAGAACCAACCAAAATCACAAAGGACTGTTAAAATGTTGGCAGGGTAAAGTGCTGTTAAAAGCTATCCTCTAGTTATTGTTGCAAAATAATCTTTGGCTTGTGTGGACTGATCTCAATATAGACACACCGCCATTCCCATAAATATGCAGGTGATTCATCAGTCAATCCATGTAACATGATGGCTGATCAGGTTATGTGCGCAAAAGCT